CCAGCAGCCCCTGTCAGTGACTCCCCGCCGAGACCAGCAGCCCCTGTTAACCATCCCTCTGAGACAGTTACTATTGTCTGTGTGCCCCTAAAACTGTCCTGATCCGTGTGTGCTCCCATGTCTCATTGTTATTCATTGTGTATTCCTGTCTGAAACACGAGTTGTCTCTTTGTCTGGTATTGTTGCTGACTGCAGTTGTTGTGCGACAGCCTGTGTGTGTTTGTCTCTCTCTCTCTCTGTGTTATCCCGCGCACTCTGTTTGATGTTGTTTCAATACTGTACCTCAGTTTGACCATCTGTGACTCACTGACTGTCCCTGCCACTAATTCCCTCAACCGCGGGACTCATCCCTGCAAACCGAGTCTTGTTCCGTATTTATATTGACAGGAGTGTTCCCGTCGGGATGAAGTAACAGGTTCCCTGCTCCCGTCCCTGACAGAGTTACAGTATGGCTGTTCCCCACAGGATCGATGAGTCTGCCAATGCGTTTGCGAGCTCTGTGCAGTCATGAGAAGAAATCTGACGTTTTGCTTATTTCCACATTAACCTTGTGTTGCAGCCCACCTCCTGGGCTCACCAACCGTGTGCTCTCCTGTTGGCTTCGCCATCCCGAGCGATGCCAACCCCAAGACGCCCCAGCCCGGGGCTCCGGTCACACGGAGGGGGTTAGTGGGGTGCTGGTGGGGAGGTACAGAGATGGTGCGGGAGGTGGAGTGGGTGTCACTCTGTGTAAGAGATGGGACAGCAAATTAACATTGCTCTGCCATGCGGAGGATTGAAGGGAATTTGCATTAAGAGACAGGGAGTAGGCCGTTCGGCCCTTCAATCTGGCTGCACTGTTCAATTTGGCCGATCCATAACCTCGATGCTGTATTCCCCCTTCCCCCCTACTTTCCTCCTCGATGCTGTTGAAACGGAAACATTTATCGATCGCTTTTTTGAACGTATCGAATCTCGGACCAGGAGTAGGCCACTCAGTCTGATCGTGGGCTGATCATCCAACTCAGTCCCCTCTTTCTCCCCAAGAACTATATCCAACTCCTTCCTGAAAATATTCAATGTTTGGGCCCCGACCGATTCTGTGACAGAGAATTCCACTCCCACCCCCACCCACTCTCTGGGTGAAGACATTTCTCCTCATCTCAGTCCTATCTGGTTCTGGGCTCCCCCTACCCGGGTCATTGGGAACATCCTGTATTGTCCCTGTTAGAATTCAATAAGTTTCCATAAGACCCCCAGCCCCCTCATTCTCCTCTACTCCAGTGAATATAATCTTAACTCGATCCAGTCTCTCTTCATCCGTCAGTCCATGCCATCCCAGGAATCAGTTTGGGAAACCCTTCGCTGCTTTCCCTCCATCGCCAGAAACCCTCTTCCCCCAAACCTCCCACACACAATACTCCAGGGTGCGGTCTCTCCCTGTCCAATTGCAGAGAGACATCCCTGCTCCTATACTCCAATCTTCTTGCCACGAAGGGGCCCAACATCCCATTGGCCTTCCTCACCCGCCCCGCTGCTCCTGCGAGGCTGGCTTTCAGTGACTGGTGTAGGAGGGTCTCCCAGGTCTCGTAGAATCTTCCCCCTCCCCCGTTTTCCCCAGTCGATTGCCCTTTGGGATAATAATCTGGCTTCTTGTCTCTGCTCCCAGAGTGGATAACCTCACACCCACCTCCATTAAACAGCTTCCAGTGTCTGCTGTAGGTTTGTTAACAGAGAAACTGCGTCCTCCCTTGTACTGTAGACCAGAAACACTCGCTCAAACAGATGTTGTTATACAGACGATGTCTCCCACACTAACCCTGCTTGGTTTGGCACACAATGCTACTCCATTTCTGTCTAATACAGGTCTAATACAGTGACTGTGCATTGCATGCTAACATGTCTCCATCTCGGCCCATTTCTCTCTTTCTCTTTTTTTGTCTCTGTGTCCCCCCTCCTGGGCCCCCATTCTGTCCGGCTCACACCAGAAGGAGTTCATGACATTGAGTACTTGTCTCTTTAGTAAGTATTATTGATCGACTAACACCCGTAACCCCTTCCCAACGCTCCCTACCGCCCCTGCCCCCAACCTCTCCTCCGACCATCCCCACTGAATAACCATTTTTTTTTGCAAATCCTCAGTCTGCTGCTGCCCTTCCAACCAGCACGGTGACAGAGTACCTCAATCCTCAGTGAAGTGTGAAGAAGACTAGCCGTTTCACGGTTAAATTGAGGGCCGTGTAAGCACTCCTCAGACTCCTTTCGCCTGTAATAACCGCCCCCCGTCCCCTCGTCACTCAGATTTGGAATTGCCCCTGTGACAGAACGGGGCACTGAGTGCGTTCCAATCTCGCCCACTCGCCCGGCCTGGTTATTGCCAGACGTCACCTGGTCGTGGATCACATTTGGGATTTCCATTCTGGGAAGAGGAAAGCGCCCACTGTTCACCCACTGAGACTAGAAACTGAGTTGCTATATAAAACACAGCAGCTACAACAGCAGGCCAGAGGCTGGGAATCCTGCAGCGAATAACTCCCCTTCAATGGTGTTACCATCACTGAACACCACCCCCCAAACCCCCACCGTCTATGAACATCTTGGAGGTTACCATCGCCCCCTTGACATTCAATGGTGTTCCCATCACTGAATCCCCCCACTATCAACATCCTGGGGTTACCATTGACCACAAACTGAACAGGACCAGCCCCACATAAACACAGCAGCTACAGGAGCAGGTCAGAGGCTGGGAATTCTGCAGCGAGTAACTCCCCTCCTGACACCCCCCCCACCCCCCGAAAAAGCCTGTCCCACCATCGACAAGGCACAAGTCAGGAATGTGATGGAATACCCCCCACTTGCCCCAGATGGGGGCAGCTCCAACAACACTCGAGAAGCTCAACACCATCCAGGGACAAAGCAGCCCCCCGCTCGATTGGCTCCACACCCACAAACATCCCACTCCCCCCACCACCGACGCTCAGTAACAGCAGTGTGTACCATCTACAAGATGCACTGCAGCATCTCACCGAGGCCCCTCAGACAGCACCTTCCAAACCCATGACCCACTTCCATCCAGAAGGACAAGGGGCAGCAGGTACATGGGAACACCACCTCCTGCAAGTTCACCCTCCGAGCCCCTCACTGTCCCCGACTTGGGAAATATATCAGCCGTTTCTTCAGTGTCACTGGGTCAGAATCCTGGAACTCCCTCCCTAAGGTCACTGTGTGGGGGTCCCTACACCACACGGGACTGCAGCGGCTCACCCCCAGCTTCTCAAGGCGGGCTGTTAGGGGATCGGCAGTAGCCAGTGATGGCCACATCCCGTGAATGAAGGAAAGAGAAAAATTAGAGATGGGTGATAAGCATTGGCACAGGCAGCGTTCCCCTTGTCCTGGGATTGAATAAATAAAAACCACGTGAGCACCCATCTCCCAATCCTTGAATTTATTTCCCGACACAAAAACATTTTTTTTTGTTTTTCCCTTCCCTCCCTGATTCCATTTCCAGTTTCAGTGGTGGCCAAGCTTGCAAACCAAAAAAACTGGGCCAAGTTTCCAGCCGAATGTCATGTGATTACCTCATTCTTAAACCTGACCAGCGAAAGGATCTCCCGCACCCCATCTTCCTGTCATTTGGTCTAAAAATTGGGTTCTCCGATGCCCCTTTGGGGAAGGGAATCTGCTGTCTTTCCCCAGTCTGGGCCTACACATAACTCCAAGCCCCGCAGCCACGCGCCCTCGACTCTTAACCACCTTCTGAAATGGCCCCTAAGCGAGCAACTCAACATTAACTAGGGGACAGACAACAAGGCAGCACATAGGGACAGATATCAGAAATGCGGTCACTGGTTTGGAGCCTTATCCCAGCTTTGATTCCCAATCCCTCATTCCCTGTCTAGCACTTTCCACCTCCATGCCTCTCAGCTGCCCCTTGAAATGCTCCCCGGTAAATCCTGCCTGGATCCTGATCTTGTGTGCTTCCTTCAGACTAACTTGCATATGTCTCTGTGTTTGCTTGTGCATACTCTTTTTTTCTCCCCCCTCCATCTTGGCTCCCTGTACCTGCCATTGAGCCATCCCTGCGTATAATATACCCATCCCTCCCCTGGGGCCCACCCACTGGGTTCCGGTGAAAGGCCTCGAGCATTCGTGCTCCCGCTTGGATGGGAATAAAATCTCACCTCCCCTCAGGAGACGGCCTTGCGTGACAGGATCGGCAGAATCTTCCCCTGCCCAACCAGTTCCCATCACGGGTGGGTATGCCCAGGTCGTTCAGTGCCGGTTAGCCCCAATAGGGTGGCTACATGTCAGGTGGCGTGGGACGCCAAGCGGGATGGGGAGGGCCTTCCCGAAAGGTCTGAGGGGCACGTTGCCCATCTGCCAAGTACGCAGGACAGGTGGTGCAAAGGGCTGATTACATTCCATTAATAAAATATCGCTGGTAGTAATCGGGAACTGAAAAGTAGCCCCCCCCACCCCGCCTCGTCGATTGTGGTAAAGATCCATCTGATTCCCTGCTATCTCTTCAGGGACGAAAAGCTGCCATCCTTACCCAGTCACGTGACTCCATCGCCATGGGCAACCACCCCGCTGAAATGCTGCCGAGCGGCACCCTCCAGGATCGGCCAAAAATGGCTTTAAGAAGAAAAACACCAAATTTTCCAATTGGTCATCTGAAAACCAATGGCCATTGAGTTTTGGGAGTTGGGTTGAATGTGTTAAAATGGTGATGGGTAGTTTTTCCCCGCGAACACTCCCCCCCCCCCCCCACCCAGCCCCCCACACAACCCCACAATCTCCATCTTGGATTGGCGAGTCGCAACCCTCATGTTCTCTGTTTTGTTTCTTTGCATTTCTTCCCCATTCCCTGAAGAAACCACACTGCCCTCCGACTCCAAAGGAGCGGGTGAGTCGGAGACACCCGGGGACGGGAAACCAGACGGCGGCTCTGTGGAAGAGCAGCTTAGCAAAGGGATCAGCACGATGATGGCCAACGCCAATGCGGAGAACGGCGTGGAGGAGGTGCCGCGGACGGGCAAAGACCACCCAGAAACGGGCACCGGGGCTCCCCTCTCTCCCGACGGCTCTCCCTCCAAGTCGCCCTCCAAGAAGAAGAAGAAATTCCGCACTCCCTCCTTCCTGAAGAAGAGCAAAAAGAAGGAAAAGACGGAGACCTGAGTTGTGTGCGTGGGCTGGGAGGAGTGGATGGAGGGAGGGAAGGCGTGGTGGGAGAAGGGTGGGGGGGAAGGCTCGAAAATAAATGTTCCAAAACGAGAAAAAGAAAACTGTTTCGAGGGGGCCCCCAGGACAAGCGGCCATTTTTGTCTCCCATCAATTGGCATTGCCAACGCTCACCTCCTCACCCCCTCCCCCCCGCCTTCACTCCCCAGAAGTGTCCCTCTTCCAAACAGGCCCATGCACGGAGGGCCCCAACTGATGCCTTAATCTCGGAATCTGAGCTCGAACAAGAGGGAGGTAGGGAAGGAGGACTCGCTCCCTGGAGATGGAGATGAGGGGACGCTGCTGGGAGGATGGGATGGGGAGAAGTGTGTGATTGATGGATGGAGTTTCGTCCATTCTTGACCGAAAATGTTGGGGGTGGGGGGGGTTGGGGTGAGGCTTTTTAAAGGGTGTGGCAGGCAGGAGGACAATGTTCCTCCCTCCCCTCCATCCAGGCTCATCGTCCAGGATCTAAGAGAACAAGCTCAAGGAGCTGAGTGGCCTGCCGTAACTGGAGAGGAGGTGGGTGGGGTTGGAGGACATGGCCAGCGTTCTCCATATCCGCCCCCTTTCTCTGCCCCCTCCCCTTCTCTGCCTCCCCTCTCTCTCCCCCATCCTCTCCTCTCCATCCCGTCTCGTCTCCCCGCTACCTCACCTCTCCCTCTCTGTCCTCTTCAAGTCCTCTTCTGACCACCTCTCTCCCACTCCTCTCTACTCCCCTCACTCCCTGGCGCCCCCTTCCCACACTTCCTCTTCCCCCCTTCCCCATCATTCTCTCCCTCTTCCTTTCCTCACCATCTCCTTCCCCTTCACCTCCTCCTCCTCTCCTCTCCCTCTGTCCCCTTCCTCACCCTCTCTCTCTCTCTCTCTCCATCTCACCCTCCGCTCAGTCCCATATCCACCACATGGGGAAACCCAGAACAGTGTGAACACACCATGACAGTGGGTGGAAGCGAGATGCTGGAGTGGGCCGGAGAAAAGGGGGAGTGAGTCCCCACCCCCACCCCCACCCACTGAGTGTAAAATGACCAGACCCTCCCCCTCAGAGCTGGCTGTTCGACCCCACTGAACCCAACCCACTCCTGGACGCCTGAGGTGACAGCCCCGTCTCGCCATGTTCCCTGAGCAAGGGCCCACCCACTGCTGTCGTGGGCAGTGCCAAGCCTGAGGACCCCCCCACCAACTGCCCAGAGGGTGGCTCCGAGTGGGTACTGGGAAGGTGATTGGGGGGGGTGGGCCAGTGAATGACGGGGAGAGTTCCACGTGCCCAGTGGGTAAAACACTCTGTCTCGATACCATCCCACCCACCACCCCCCGGGGCAGGCCCGAGTTCGGATTATCCCGTTCCTTATTCCAGAATAAACATGGAAAAACTCCACCACACTTGGCAGTCTTCTGCAGGGGGGGATGAGACAGAGCTGACCTCTCGAGTCAGTTCTTTCTAACGCTGAGGAGGAGCGAGCGGAACAAAGGGTGTGGAGACCCAGTACAAAAAAAAGGCTTTCCAAGGTGGTGGAAGAGAAGATCAGGAGCTGTGATGTGGGTGTGCATTAAGTGTGGAAGGAGGTCCTCTGCGCTAAGGCCAACGTAAACATGACACGGATGAGACCAGGCTGTTGAAGAACGGGCAGAATTACAAAGAAATGGAGGACAGACATAGCGCGGCCGATTTCTCGTGGCGGAATTCAGTGCTGAAGTGGAAAATGGGATGTTGCTCCTCATTTATGCCCAGGGCATGAGAGCGAGGGTGTTTATTGAAATGGCCGGAAACAGGGAGATAGGGTCCTTCCTACAGACAGAGCGGAGATGTTTCACAAGCACCGTCAGACATTCGGCCCACCATGTCTCCTCTGCCATTTGATCTTGGCCCAATGTGTTTCTCAACCCCATTCTCCCCGTAACCCTTGAACCCCTCACTCAGCATGAACCTCTCTATCTCTGTCTTGAAGACACTCAATGACTTGGCCCCCACAGCCCTATGCAATAATGAGTTCCACAGATTCACCTCCTTCTGGCTGAAGAAATTCCTCCTCATCTCAGTTCTAAAGGGTCGTCCCTTCACCCTGAGGCTGGGCCCTCAGGCCCTAGTCTCTCCTACTGAGTGGAAACATCTTCTCCATGTCTTCTCTTTTCAGGCCTCTCAGTATTCTGTACGTTTCAATCAGATTCCCCACCTCATCCTTCTAAACTCCATCGAGTGCAGACCCAGAGTCCTCACCCGCTCCTCATACGACAAGCCCTTCATCTCTGGGATCATTCTTGTAAACCTCCTCTGGACCCCTCCTCCAAGGCCAGCACATCCTTCCTTAGATACGGGACCCAAAACCTGCTCGCAATATTCCAAATGTGGCATGACCCAGAGCCTTATACAGCCTCAGCAGTATGTCCCTGCTCTTGTATTCTGGCCCCCTCTCGAAGTGAGCACAGAGAGGTCACCCATTTTGCATTTCGCCTTGCCAATGTAAAGGAGGACGACATTATAGAGTGAACGAAGCGCAAGTAAAACACTCAGAAGGTGAGTTTGTAACCTCAGGGAGGGCATTAGCCTCTCCACGTGTGCTGCCAGACCTGCTGAGTTTCCCCAGGGTTTTCTGTTTGTTTCAGATTTCCAGCATCTGCGGTGTTCTGCTTCTATTTAATTGTTCTTGAAGCTCTCCGTTGAGGGCAGTAATTCTATCCCAAGACCCTATTGTCCTCTTCAGTCAGCGCAAGTGCCTCCTGCCCCAGGTAGGTCGTTCACGCCCTGGTACACCTTACTTGAGGAGACGTTCAATCTGATTTCAAATTTATCCCGGGCTAGGTGACTCTTGACCGGAATTCAGGCTGAATTTTCGTCCTAACTCAGCAGCAAAGCCTATGTCCTTCTGCCATGCAATGAGGCCCATTCTTATGGTGGTCAGTGAGGTTCAATGCAGGGCAATGTGAGCTGATACACTTTAGTCTGACAAATAGTGAAAAGCAACATAAAATACTGGGTACAATTCCAAAGGGGGCAGAGGGTCCCTGGGGGTTTATGTACCCGGATCACCGAAGGTGGCAGGACTTGGGGGGAGAGAGAGCAGTTAATAAACCACACCGCGCCCATGGCTTTATTAATAAGGGCATAGAGTACAAGAGGTGAGTTGACCTGGTGCGAGATGCTTGCTAAACTCCAGCTGGAGTATTCTGCACAGTCGTGGGTGCCACACTGTAGGAAAGATGTGAATACGTTGGAGAGAGAGTGCAGAAGCAATTTTCAAGAATGGTTCCCAGGGATGAGAAACTCCAGCGATGAGGACAGATTGAAGAAGCAAGGGTGACGTGAGAGAAAATGTGTTTCCACCCAGTGAGTGGTTAGGGAGTGAAACACGCTGCCTGTAAACAGCTTGGATGGCAGGTTCGGTTGAGGCATCGGAGAGGGGCATTGGATGGTTATTGGGCTAGGAATGGTGGGCAGGGAGATGGGAGGAAAAGGAATGGGATTGGGGTGATAGAATCTGCATGGGCATGACGGGATGAATGGCCTCCCTCTGCACTGTAACAGTTGTGCGCACACATCTGCAGTCAATCTGGTCTCCTGTAATCCCATGACTGTTCCGCTCAATCTATCTGTGTTTCCAGTGGGGTTTCCCTCCGCCCCCTTCCCGCCTGAGTGTGCCGCCTCCAGACCAGCATGGTGCCACGTAAATTCGGATCAAATCCACAGGCAGAAGGAAGGGGCGGTGAAGAACTGATGGGGAACAAAAAAGCATGGAGACATCCCGATTGTGCGTTGGCTGACGTTTCAGATGCTCCATCACCCATTGGGGTCTGCTTTCCTTTACGAAACATCTCAATGGCAATGGGCACTGTTGGCACTGCTGGGATGAATGAGGGGGTGGTTTTGCTTCTCTGCGATCCAGGACATGGTTCCTGAAATGGTCATGATGTATAAAATCCAACCCACCCACCCCCACCTCCTATCAGTCTCTTGATTTCCACAGTGCCCATCTCAGAAATCTTGCTGGCATGCCCTTGAGGTGCCCTCCACACCATACGCCGGGGAAGAGGCGTATGACCATAGGCCTTGGTCAAGCGAAAAGCCTGCCAAACGCCAGGGTCTGAGGGTCAATGCTGCCCTCTTGCCTCCAGTTGTATGTCAGGCTGGCACCTCAGCAAACCAGCTGGCCCAGCCCAATAGCAGCCCAGGTCAGAAATGGAGCAACCTCCACATCAGGTGTTTGCAGGCTCTCTCTGAGGACAGGGAGAGGGGACATTGCAGAATGGTTCAGGGGGAGGCGGTTTGGCCCGTCATCTCCGTGCCAGCCCCTGCCAGAGGAACTCGCCAACTGCATCCCCACCCACCCCATACCCGCCCCTCCCCAACTGCCTGCCTTCTACCTGTTAGCCCTGCAATATTGGCTGTGTATCGGGTGATGGTTCTGACAGGATTCTGTTGCCGTGCAGCTCAGTCACCTCAGTCCTTAACAAGACCGGGTTCCACGTCACCGAACCCGGGCGGGGCGGGGCCCGGGAAGTGAAGGATGCTGGGTAAACTCAGTAGGCTCCCTCCGGTAGTGTCGGTTGAGACGCCGTGGACTCCAGGAGCGCCGTCTTCCCGCATTTGGGAACGTGATGCGTGCGGCCGTCCCGTCCGGTAAAAAAAAAAGCAGCAGCAGCAGCAGAAGCAGATTGGCGCGAGAGAATGGCGCTCGGTTGAAGAGCGGGCGCGCAGGCGGACTGGGCCGAACGGCCTCGTTCCCGGACCGCAACGCTTCGGCCTGTGGTACTGTCCCCGGCCCGGCGTTGTTTATGGCGACCGTCCGAGCGCAAGAGAGAGCGGAAACCCCAAGGGGTTACCCACCACCCCTCCCCCTCTTCAGGGCGTTTGACGGACCGAAGGATGAGTTGAGAATTGGCCTAAGTGAGTGCCAAGTCCCTGTGCCAAACCATTTCAGAGTGGGGCGCTCTGTCAGCACCAGGTAGGGGGGTAGGGGGTCCATTCAACTATAAAACCCAAAGCCCCACATATCCGATAAATGATTGCCATTCGATAGACGCATTTCGACACCCATCCCGCGCGTGCACATGTGCACTGGGAAGACAAACCAAATATTTACAACCTTGGCTTGCTGTCATCGCTGTCCCAATCCCTTCACCGTACAACGCACCATTGACCCACACCATTCTTCACCCCCCCCCCGACCCCCTTTACATCGATTCCTCGTTTCCCTAAGCTTAGCACTTCAAGAACAACTGACCCCAGGTTGTCCCAGGACTCCCTGTATTCCTTTTGTGCTTGTAACTTTGTAACTTGTGATGTTTCTGTCTGACAATCTGTGGTGGGAGCCGCACCTCCTATGTAATGTATATGGCTTGATCTCTCTCTCTGTCTCACTCGACATATATATATTATATATACACACATATGATAAAAAGAAAGATGTAACTTGTGAATGTGTTGTATTTTGGCTCTTCGACAGTACCCATCGCCTTCCCCTTGACGTTTTTGAGATGGGATCGGTGATCTGAAATCTCCAAAGCACAGAGAAGGCCCTTCCACCCCATTGAGTGCCCACTGGTCAAAAATGAGAATCCCATTTCGAGGGCCCAGGGCTCAGCCCACAGTCCCATCTGCCTTGGCACTGCACCGTAATTTACAAAGAGCCATGGACCGGCTGCTCTATCAAGACCGTATCCCAGCATAGTCATTCCTACGTTTAATGGCAGGGTTAGGACTGGACGGAATTTAATATGGAGGTTCAGGTTGACGCATTTTGGCAGAATAGGTTTTTGTTCTTCACTCACAGGGTGTGGGCATCGCTGATCAGGCCCAGCAATTTTTGCCCTATTCCCCCCTAATTGCCCCCTTGAGAAGGTGGGGGTGAGCTGCCTTCTCGAACCACTGCAGTCCATGTGGTGTAGGGACCCCACACAGTGCCCTTAGGGAGGGAGTTCCAGGGTTTTAACCGAGCGACACAGAAGGATCGGCCGATATATTTCCAAGTCAGGGATGGTGAGTGGCTTGGAGGGGGTGGTGTTCCCATGTATCTGCTGCCCCTGTCCTTCTGGATGGAAGTGGTCGTGCGTTTCAAAGGTGGACCCTTGGTTAGTTGCTGCAGTGCATCTTGTAGATGGTACACACTGCTGTTACTGAGCATCGGTAGTAGAGGGAGTGGGATGTTTGTGGATGTGGTGCCAATTGAGCGGGGGCTGCTTTGTCCCTGGATGGTGTTGAGTTTCTCGAGTGTTGTTGGAGCTGCCTCCATCCAGGGCAAGTGGGGAGTATTCCATCACACTCCTGACTTGTGCCTTGTGGATGGTGGGACAGGCTTTTGTGGGAGTCAGGAGGTGAGCTACTCGCTGCAGGATTCCCAGCCTCTGACCTGCTCTTGTAGCCAGCAAGTTTACTTGGGCTGGTCAAGAGTTCAGATGCTGGAAGGGGAAAACTCCCTGGATACACTATAAAGGGAAAGCTCAAAAGAGTGTTCAGGGATAGGGGGAGCTGGGGCTGCAGGTATGTCAGTCTTTAAAAGCAGCAAGAGAGCTTATCAAAGCGTGTAGGATTTTCAGGTTCATCAATAGTGATTGATGACAAATGCTGGGGTGTTTCGATAAACCTTCCCAAAGCGTGAACAAGGCCACAACTAGAGTATTGTTCAGATCTGAGTGGAATATTAACCAGTGGTTAGTACTACTGCCTCACAGCGCCAGGGACCGGGTTCAGTTCCACCCTCGGACGATTGTCTGTGCAGAGTTTACATGTTCTGCCCTGTGTCTGCATGGGTTTCCTCCCACAGTTCAAAGATATGCAGGTTATGGTGTGTTGGCCATGCTAAATTGCCCATAGTGTGCAGGCTAGGTGGGTTAGCCATGGAAAAGGAGGGTGGTTCTGGGTAGCTTTCTTGTTGGAGGGTCAGTGTGGACTTGATGGGGTGAATGGCCTTCTTCCATACTGTAGGGATTCTATGATTAACAGGACAATGAAATGGAAGAAGGAAGCTTGGCTTGAAAGTCTGTTATAAACTCATCCTTGACAGGACATATTATTTAAATGGAGAAAGATTGCAGAAAGCCATGGACAGACGGATTTGGGGAATCCTCATGCACAAAACACAAAAATCCAGCATCCAAGTTCAGCGGGAAATAGGGAAGGCCAAAGGAACGTTGGCTTTTATTTCAAAGGGAATGTAGAATAAAAGTGAGGAGGTTTCGTTAAAACTGCACAAGGCACTAGTAGGACCACAGCAACTGTGAACAATTTTCGGTCCCCGTATCCAAGCAGAGATGGACCGGCCATCGGAGGCAGCCCAGAGAAAGTTCACTCGACTGATCCCGGGTACGGAGGGACTGTCTTACGGGAAGAGGTTGAGTAGGTCGGGCCCTGTACCTCATTTAGAAGAATGAGAGGCGACCTTATTGAAACAGACAAGATTCTTAAAGAGACTTGACAGGGGGAGATGTGGAGAGGTTGTTTCCCCTTGTGGGAGAGTCTAGGACCAGAGGGTGTAATCTCAGAATAAGGGGTCATCCATTGAAGATGGAGATGAGGAGGAATTTCTTCTCCCGAGGGGAGTGAATCTGTGGAGTTCTTTACCGCAAAGGGCTGTAGGGGCTGGGATATTCAAGTCTAAGACAGACAGATTTTTAACTGGGAAGGGGAATTGAGGGTTATGAGGTGGGGGGGAAAGGCAGGAAAGTGGAAGTTGAGGATGATCAGATCAGCCATTGAATGGCAAATCAGACTTGATGGACTGAATGGCCTCATTCTGCTCCTATATCCGATGGTTCTAAACCTCTAAATTTCTCATGAAATTTCTCATGGTTCTAACCCTCCCATGAATATCATACATAGAAGGAGCAGGAACAGGCCATTCAGTCCCTTAGGCCTGCTCCGCCATTCAATATGATTATGGGCTGATCATTGAGTTCAATACGCTAATCCTGCTCTCCCCACATGATCATTTTAGCCACAAGATCCCACATCTACCTCCATCTTGAAAATATTCAGTGCTCTGCACAGCCCCCTCCTCCCTCCATGATCATCAGGAACACCCTGCCGAGTCCCTGTTAGAATTCAATAGGTTTCCATGAGACTGCCCTCTCCCCCTTTAATCTTGTAAACTCCAGTGAATTTCATCCTAACCCAATGCGGTCTCTCTTCATCCATCAGTACATGCCATCCCAGGAATCAGCCTGGAAAACCCTTCGCTGTACTCTCTCCATCACCAGAACCCCCTCCCTCAGATAAGGAGACCCAACCCTCACACACACAATACTCCAGGGTGTGGTCTGATCAATGCCTACACAATCATATCAAGGGGCCAAAACTGTACACAGTACTCCAGATATTGTCTTGTACAGCTGTGGCAAAAGTTCCCGACTTTTTGTATTCCATTTTCCTCACAATAAAGACCAACATTCCATTTGCCTTCTTACTCACTTGCTGTCCCTGCATACCAACTTTATATGATTCATGTACTAAAATGCCCAGATCCCACTACACTATAGCAAGCTCTCCCCTTTTTGAACAGTATATTGGGTGTCCATTCTTCCTGACAAAATTGCGCTAGTTCACATTTACCCATATTATAGAATCATAGAGTTGTACAGCACAGACTCTTCGGGCCAACTCGTCCATGCCAACCAGATATCCTAAATTAATCTAGTCCCATTTGCCAGCATTTGGCCCCTATCCCTCTAAACCCTTCCTATTCATGCACCCATCCTGATGCCTTTTAAATATTGTAATTATACCAGCCTCCACCACTTCCTCTGGCAGCTCGTTCCACACACCCACCACCCTCTGCGTGAAAAAGTTGCCCCTCAGGTCTCTTTTAAATCTTTCCCCTGTCACCTAAAACCTATGCCCTCTAGTTTTGGACTCCCCTATCCTGGGGAAAAGACCTTCACTGTTCATCCTATCCATGCCCTTCATGATTTTATAAACCGCTATAAGGTCACCCCTCAGCCTCCGGCGCTCCAGGGAAAATAGCCCCAGCCTATTCAGCCTCTCCCTATAGCTCAAACCCTCCAATCATGGCAACATGCTTGTAAATCTTTTCAGCACCCTTTCACGTTTCGCCGTATCCTTCCTATAGGACAGAGAGCAGAACTGTACACTGTATTCCAGAAGTGGCCTAACCAATGTCCTGTACAGCCCCAACATGACCCTCCCAACTCCTATACTCAATGCCCTGACCAATAAAGGCAAGCGTACCAAACGCTTTATGTCTTCCTGAGACTCCACTTTCAAGGAATGACGAACCTGTACCCCAAGGTCTGTCTTTTCAGCAACACTCCCCAGGTCCTTACCATTAAGGGTATAAGTCCTGCATTGATTTGCGTTTCTAAAATGCAGCACCTCATGTTTATCTAAATTAAACACCATCTGCCACTCCTCAGCCCATCTGATCAAGATCCTGTTGTACACTGAGATGACCTTCTTCACTCCCTCTGCCGATTTTCTGCCAACTCCCTTAACCTGACTATATCCCTTTACAGAATCTCTAAACCCTCTCCACAACCTACGCTCTTACTTATCTTGAGCAAATTGACCATGTCTTTGATTCCTTCGTTTAAATCACTGACATAAATTACGTATCATTGAGGACCAAAAACCAATCCTTGCAGGACTCTGATAGTTATTCCAATCCAGAAAGGACCTGTGTATCCTTACTGTTTGCTTCCTCTTGTTGAGCAATTTGTTGGCCATGGTACAATGGCCTCCACACCATGCGGTCTAACCTTAATGTGGCACTTATTGAAGACCATAGTCGAAGTGCCCCACATCTTCCAGTCCCCCTTTCGTGGACACTGCTTTGTCAACAGACCCCTGCTAGATGAGACCAACCTGATTTTCCCGTCCGCAAAAGCTGTTGGGCAGGACTTTGTGAAGGTTAGGTGTCGTGGAGCGTTGGAGGA